GTGTTGCGGGAGGGTGGGTGTGCTGGCTAGGGTGCGCGATGGTGGGCCTAAAAGAGCTGAAATCACTGAGGGCTGGTGCCTCGGGCAGAAGAAGCCTGGGCAGCCTTTGTCAAGGCTTGAAGGTGCTGGGCAGCCTTTGTCAAGGCTAGTCTCGAGTGAAGAAGCCCCCCTGGGGGGGAAGGAGGTGGGGCTATGCCCTGTGTGGGTGAGTATGTGTTGCGGGAGGGTGGGTGTGCTGGCTAGGGTGCGCGATGGTGGGCCTAAAAGAGCTGAAATCACTGAGGGCTGGTGCCTCGGGCAGAAGAAGCCTGGGCAGCCTTTGTCAAGGCTTGAAGGTGCTGGGCAGCCTTTGTCAAGGCTAGTCTCGAGTGAAGAAGCCCCCCTGGGGGGGAAGGAGGTGGGGCTGTGCCCTGTGTGGGTGAGTATGTGTTGCGGGAGGGTGGGTGTGCTGGCTAGGGTGTGCGATGGTGGGCCTAAAAGAGCTGAAATCACTGAGGGCTGGTGCCTCGGGCAGAAGAAGCCTGGGCAGCCTTTGTCAAGGCTTGAAGGTGCTGGGCAGCCTTTGTCAAGGCTAGTCTCGAGTGAAGAAGACCCTTGGGGGGGAAGGAGGTGGGGCTGTGCCCTGTGTGGGTGAGTATGTGTTGTGGGAGGGTGGGTGTGCTGGCTAGGGTGTCCAATAGCAGGTTAGAAGAGCTGCAGTCCCGCCTTTGAAACAAATGGAATCCTGGGGCAGGAGAGCAAAGTGCTGCAAGCAAGTTGTGCCTTGGGCTGCCTCGCCTGCCATCACCTATATGTTGTTTCAGGCTCTGAAACAGCCAATAGCAGGTTAGAAGAGCTGCAGTCCCGCCTTTGAAACAAATGGAATCCTGGGGCAGGAGAGCAAAGTGCTGCAAGCAAGTTGTGCCTTGGGCTGCCTCGCCTGCCATCACCTATATGTTGTTTCAGGCTCTGAAACAGTGCCTGCACTTCTGTGTTTGTGGCTTGCTCCATGCAGTACGCACACAAGCTCACACTATGTTCATCACACTCAGATTTAATAAAAGAAATATGCATCTCACTGTTGCTACAACCTTTTCACAAAGATGGTGATTTCCATGACAGCTGCAT